CCCCCCCCCCCCCCAGTCACATGCACGCCACAGAGACTGCTTCTGGGAAATCCCTGCCATCAGGTAATTGTCCCTAAACCAATGCTCAATGGATTGCTGCCTGGGTCTCCTTCGCTTTGATACGAAAAGATACTCCAGTTTCACCGGAAAATGATCAGAATCGTCACCAGAAAGGCAGACGTCTAAATGAAAGCCCGGAAAGATGGAGTCAGGTGCATTTCCCTTGCAGTTCGTGCTCCCCCCACACCCCCCCGCAGCAAGCTCTAAGTGTCACTGGGCCTTTCCTGGTCAGTTATATTTTGAGCAGAAAGCACTAAAGCAGGAGGCGGTCTCCAGGGGTGCAGTTTATTGCTCAAAATGGCATTTTGCGAATGGATGGGAGACTCGGAGTAGGGGGGGCTGCTGGGCAGCTGGAATGCTGAGGTCTGTCTTTGCAGAAGGCAGGCTCCTTGGGAGAGGGGATCCCCTGGTGACAGGCGGGGCGTAGGATCCCCAGGGCTCAGAAGAGCCGGGACCCCCTCCTGCTCCCCAGCCTGAGGGAGTGGCCCCAGGGACACTGAGCACAACTCCTGTCCAGACACGAGCGCTGGGACCCCGATGTGTCAACCTCAGGCCCCAGGGGAGCCTCTCCAAGGCCAGGACAGGGAGAGCGACACCGCGGGCGGTGCCCAGGCTGGGGGGCGGTGCCCAGGCTCAGGAGCAGTGGCCAGGCTCAGGGCAGTACCCAGGCTCAGGGCAGTACCCAGCCTCAGGGCAGTACCCAGGCTCAGGGAAGTACCCAGCCTCAGGGCAGTGGCTAAATGGACATACAGAGCTGCCATCTGCTCAGAGCCCCCACTGCCCACGTCCCAAGTGGCTCAGCAGCCCCCGCCCCGTGGGAAAGCTGCGCCCCCGCCCTCCTTGTGCTGGACCCTCTCACCCTGATGTTCCCTTCAGATGAACTCCCAAAGGGATCCGGAAGCTGGTCCATGCCAGCGGCCCAGGCACCCTGCCCCTCCCAGGGGCAGCCCAGGGCGGACAGCCAGGGAGGCGGGGCTTGGGGTCGAGGGACCCCCAGGCCCTGCGAGCATAGCCTGGGAGGGGAGGGCTTCTCTGGGGTCTTCCTGGTGACCCCTCCTGCTCGGCCCTGGAGGACAGCCTGGGGGCCTCCACCCGGGGGCGCTCCTGTGCTGGTGGGGTGAAGGGGAGGGGTGGTGGGAGCAGAGAGACAGCCTTGGGAGTGAAGACACCCCTTCCCTGGGATGGACCCCCCTCTCCCTGCCTGCAGACCTCTGAGCTGGGGAGGTGGGCTTGGGGACAGGAA